AGGAAATCCTGGTTAGTTTCTTTTCGTCCGCTTAATAATATGCTTAAATTCAGCGGGTAATCTCGCCTGCTCTGAGGTCGTCGTCAACGTTTGCGCTTGTCGTAGTAAACGACGGTGCGAGAGAGACACAGAAACTTCTCTCCTCCCCTATCTCGCGCTTAACGCAGCATCGTGCGTGATGCGCGGCGGATCATTCGCGGGCGTCGCGCTCTCGCGCGACTTCCCAGAGACGAGTCACGACGCGACGTGCCGGTCCGTGTGTATACGTTCGAAGGACGAAGCCTCGTGGACTCGGACACGCGGTCGGCTCGCGATCCAAACCAGCAGACATCTGCGCGAGATATTGGGTCTCTGTGCGTCGTGCGGACTTGCACGCGACAGTGCCATACACCGCGCGAGTCGGACGAGAGAGGGAGACAAGCTCTCTTTGTCTCTCATGCGTCGTCGACCGGCATGCGCGCCGTTCGTTGTCCCAGCTCGCAGAGGTCAGCGGGTAGAGGTGACTCTGCGCGCGCTCGACGCGGCAGAGAACCTACCCTCCTCCCTCGCTGTGCTCGTTCCACCTTGACAACGACGACGCGCTTCCAGCCGCGCCCGATGAGAGAGAGAGGTCTCCGTGACTTTCCCCTCGTCCGGAGGTCGCGGGAGACAGACACCCGCTATCGCGTGTGTGCGTTCGATGTCGCTCGACGATGAGGAGGAGGAAATCGTCTCTCGTTTCATTTCAGACGACGCGTAGGGGAGACCGACCGGCCACACTCTTCCCCGAGATTCCTGGTCCCGCCGAGGGCGTACACGACCAGCTTTTCTCGGGTCGAGAGGGGGGTCTGGCGCTCCTCCGCGAACGTCCAGCCATCGCTCGTACGCCGTCGTTTGGCTATCCGCGACTCAACAAGAGTACGCTGCGAGAGCGTCTCTTTTCTCGTGTTTTCTGCTTGCTCAAAACCCTGCGCGCGCACGTCGAGGAGAGAGAGGGACTCCGTGGCAACGCGCACGGATCCCTGCTTCGATGCTGCTCCTACGACGACGGCGGGGATGAGCCTCGAGAGAGAGAAAGAGCCGCGGAAGCACAGCTCCGATATGTTATAAACTGTACAACACATTATTGATGCAATATTAAGGTACAAGCGAAGAAGAAGATGAAGGAAATATATTTCGTATTTTATTTAACTAATATTTTTTTAGATATTTAAGGAAAACTGAATAACTTTTTCAATATTTAACTCACAATATCTCGCTAACTATTTGTCAGAAGAAAAAGTGGTACCAGACCTTTTTGCTCTATTTAGTCTCAAGAATATATTTTTACAATAGTGCTTGACTTTTGTTAATTTGGTAATTTTTTGAAATTTCAAAATCATTAAATTAACCAAATTCAGGGCGCTATTGGAATAATATATTCTTATATTAATATAATTCTTATATTAATATAATTTTTGAGACTAAATAGAGCAAAAAGATCTAGTACCACTTTTTCTTCTGACAAATAATTAGCGAAATGTCGTGAGTTAAATATTGAAAAAGTTATCCAGTTTTCCTTAAATATCTCAAAAAATATTAAGTGAATAAAAAAATATTTCAGACAAAAGTTGTTCAAATTAATTGCTAGAAAAAGACGATGTAATAAAAAATTGGGGTATCCATTTAAGATTTTTATGTTGATCTTGACTGGACTTTTCAAGGTTATCCCAATATCACATTCATAGCGTCAGTAAATAGATCCTTTGAAGCCTTACACTTTCATTTGAAATATTTTTCTCTAAAATGTCGCGTTAACGAAAAATCGGGTGAACCGGCTAGTCTGGAACATCCGGTATATTGGATTGTGATGATGGAAACGTGGAAATGCATGTCAAAAGTTCCTGTGATTTACGGTTAAAAAAGAAATATATCATTAAAATGACATTTGAAATCTGCTCTATACATTTGTAAAATGCTCTGCATGGTTCTCTTTTCCCGAAATAAGTATTATATAATCGCAAAATAAATGTTACAAAATCGACTGATTTTGACAGACATGTTGACAGAAAATCAGTCGCACACACACACACAAACACAACGCGCGCGCGTGCGTTAATATTTATGTGTGTGATTCTTGTAATATTTACATGCTTACATACGTTATATACGTTTCTAAGAAATTTTTGCAAAAATAGTGATATGAAACAGCTTGTAACGTATGCATTCACGCACACATATACACCAATGGTTTTTATTATATTTATATTGCAGAAAATGCGTCCTGTAGTAATGGGTCCTGCTAGACTAAAGTTTATGCAATTGTTTCAACTGTGATTGCGATCTTTAAGTCATGTTTATTTATGCCAACAAATGGAATATTTTATTTCGAGTTCAAAATTTTGTATGTTTAACGATTCAGCATCCTACGTTATACATCACAACTTTATGAATTTCATAGGTTCTTTTCACAGAAAAACACTCTTCTCATAGAAATATAGAGAATACTCATACAAGAACATACAAATAGGTGTATATTGCACTTACAAACATTTTTTATGATATGACGTAAACTATAGGTTGCAAAAAATTGCAGATTATTATTGATATAAATAATACCTGGTTTTCAGGAATATATGTAAATATATTTTCAATTTATAACTGTGTTGTATGTATAACAGTTACAGAAAAAATTTAATATGACCTACGAAAAGAAAAATTATATATGGATAGGCGCGGGAGGGCCTCCCAAACATCGTGCCAGAGGTAAGTCACCGTGAGGTTTTAGCCGGTAAAAGTCCGGCACTACCCCGGCAAGGAGCCGGGGTGTCCATGAGGATTTCCCCACGTAAAAAAAAAATAAATATAAATGGAAAGAAAGGTAACACCGATCTACATGCAATGTTAATTCATGCAAGTCTATCGACACAGCGAGTCGAAATCGATTGCTATTAGTCGTCCCCTCGTCGAATCCACGCCGAAAGACAAACATCAGCCTCGGCTGCATGTCGAGACAGAGCGAGATGGAGCGAACACATTCTCTGTCTCTCTTTTGCTTAGCTCGTCGAAACAAGTCGAGCGGAGGGCGGGGTCTCAGATGAAATGTCATCGACGAAACATGCAATGCTTGCAATACGTGCCCGTATATTCTATACAACACGTGCATTTCCTTAAAAAATGAGAAAAAATTTATTGTGATACACGTATGTTGTATGCAACACGTACATTTTCCTAAAAAATGAAAAAAAGTATTGGCGAAAAAAGACAACGCCGACCGCCAAGCGGATGCGAACTACCGATCTCAAACCCCGCGAGCCTAACGCACTTCCACCAAGCCACATACTCATTGAGAAGCTCCATCATTTGGTTCATTGAGCACTCGCGATTTTCAATCGCGATCTTCTTGCAAACGCTTCAATGCTACGCCGCATCTTTAAGTGCAATGTTAATTTGTCATGCAAATCTATCGACACAACAAGTTTGGTCGAAATCGATTGCTATTGATCATCTCTTTGGATTCACGCCGAGAGGGAAACGTCAGTCTCGGCCGTTTATCGGGAAGCACAATCTCGGCAACGTTGCGAATCAGAGCGAGATGGAGCGAACACATTCCCTCTCTCTCTCTCTCCCTCTCTCCCTCTCTCGCTCTCTCCCACTCTCCCTCTCCACCTCTCCCCCCGCTCTCCCTCCCCCCTCTCCCCCCGCTCTCTCTCCCTCTGCCCCCGCTCTCTCCCCCCTCCCCTCCCTCCCTCCCCCCTCCCTCCCTCCCCTCCCCTCCCTCTCCCCCTCCCCCTCCCTCCCTCGTCCTCTCCCTCCCTCTCCCTCCCTCCCTCTCACCCCTTCCCTCTCTCCCTCCCTCTCCCTCCCTCTCTCCCCCTCTCACCCCTTCCCTCTCTCCCTCCCTCTCCCTCCCTCTCTCCCCCTCTCCCTCCCTCCCTCTCTCCCTCCCTCTCTCCTTCCCTCCCTCTCTCCCTCCCTCTCTCTCTCCCTCCCTCTCTCTCCCTACCTCCCTCTCCCCCTCTCTCTTCCCCTCTCCCTCCCTCCCTCTCCCTCCCTCTCTCCCCCTCTCCCTCCCTTTTTCCCTCTCTCTCCCCCTCTCCCTCTCCCTCCCTCTCCTTCTCTCTTTCTCTCCTTCTCTCTTTCTCTCCTTCTCTTTCTCTCTCTCTCTCTCTCTCTCTTTCTCTCTCTCTCTCTCTCTCTCTCTCTCTCTCTCTCTCACTCTCTCTCTCTCTCTTTCTCTCTCTTTCGCTTGACTCGTCAAAACAAGCCGAGCGAAGGGCGGGACCTCAGACGGATAGACGGGATCAGTTTCTCCGTGTGTGTGTGCCGACTGCATTCTTACACACAAACGTACAGGAATTGAAAATGTTTAAGCATATACCCTGAGATTCTATCTGTTGCGTATGACATGTGTGTGTGTATGTGTGTGAGTGAGTGCATATATGCACACGTTCGTCACGCATACTTTCAATGCAACACATGCACGGACACAACTGCGCTAAAAAATACTGAGTATAAATAAATACTAACGTAACGCTGAAATATTTTGGAAAAATAGTTTTGGGTGCACACAAAATATTATCTTAATTTATTATTTTAATTAATTATCTTAATTATATTTTCGAAGATGGATGGAAATGCACCAATCAGAATGCAATATTTTCATCCAGCAAGCAATCCAGCACGAAAAAAGCACCGTGTGCCGCTGGCTTTATTATCATATATTTATATATCGATATAAATCGTATATAATCTTCATGATATTAATCATATACAATCTCAATTCTTATTTTTTTTGTGCATGTTATCATGTTAATTCATGTTACAAATGCATAACAATGCGCGAGACCGTGCTTGTCAAGTACGCTATTATGGTTGTAGCACGGACATAAACCGCCTGAAAGTGGATGTAGCACGGACAGCCACCAGATGCAGGTTTTACCGTCGAGACCTAAAAGTGGATGTAGCATCGTAGTTCCCCTCTCAAAATGGATGCAGGTAGCGTCCATTCCCAGTGCAAAAAATCGGTGTCGCCGAAAACGCCGTGTTGGCCGCTCTCAGGTTCCTCTCTGCTAAAAGCGGTCCATGGCATCTCTCCTTCTCTCTGGTCACACTTTCAGACTTCTCTCTATATGTGTTACAGGAAGAAGTTAAAGAACGTTTATTACATATAAGAGAGGAAAAATATCTGTTTTGAAAATAGAAAAACAAGGAAATAGGAAAGTTGCAAAGAATCTACAAATTGACTTATCGACATAAGCACGTCAGGAATAACGCAATATTTTAACGCAATAGATTAAACATACAGTAAGTTAAATTACGCATTACTTTATTATGACTAAATATATAAAGAATGACTAATAAAATAGTTGCCTAGTTATAAGTAATAAAAAGATTTTTTATTTTTAATTTCTTTATTGATAAAGATCATAATTTTTTAGAATTTTTTAATCAGTAATAACATTTTCTTTTAATAACATTATTAATAATAACATTTTCTAAAATTCTAAATTTTCTTTATTATATCACACTTTTTATTGGTGCAAGATAGTATTCTGTGTTTCATACATGAGCATTTTAATATATCCACTTGTGTCAAAATGTCAATACAAAAATAAGTCTATAAATGAACATAGTTTAAAATACATTGATAGGCTTTATAAGAATTTTATTTATAAGATCACATAATATTTCTATTGTATCTTAATTGTTAATAGTAAGAACTGGATAAAAATGCAGCGTATAGCAGTTTGCACTATTCGTAATATCTTAGGCCGTCAGTCATATACTACTGCAACTGTGCAGAAACAAGTGATATCTGCTACTTTTAAAGTTCAGGATCTCAAAGACTTTGATGAACGAGTGAAAAACTCCAAAGTACCTGTTATTATAGATTTTTTTGCAACGTAGGTACTATATAATAATATTATTTATGAGATAATTATATCTTGCTATTTTAAGTCACAATTTTTGTGAAAATTTGTTTAATTATAAATAATTTTGTATTATGAACAAAAAGTAAATATTTATATAATGGATAACCTATCTGCTTATACTATATTTAAAAAATTCCAATATTGCTGATTTTTTATTAAAACATTATTAACAAAAGATTGAAAATTTTGACTCTTATCTAGCTTCACTGAACCTAATATAATTTTTAGAAAACAATTTTACATAAATAATTTATCACAAATTAAAATAATTTCATTGATATGTCTGATTTGTATTCAATATCACATTATAACAAATCAAGTTCACTTATTTAGCGTCAATAATGACTTGAAAATGTTGGTCTTCTGGAAGATTTTATTTCATAATTATGTTTTTTGTTTTTCATTTTTTCTTAGTCATTTATACTTCATTAAATAGTTACTGAAGTTTTTTAATCTTACTAAATAAGTTTACTATTTACATATACTAGTAATGGAGACATTATAAAGATTGATAAAGGCTATGCAAAGTTTATTTTGTATAATAGCCTCTACTAATTTTTATAATGCTCTCATTTTTTATATATAGTAAACTCAATTTAGTAAGGCCAAAAATTTATCTAATCAATTTAATTTTATATCTCGAAGTTATATTCATAACACTGATATTTGTTATATTTTCCAAATTATTTATGTTAATAACTTTTTAATAAGTAATGATTCATAGTTGAAACTATTTGATAGTTATTCAGAGTAGTGATCTTAACAACATATATCAAAGTCAAAATAATCAGTGAGGTTATTCCTAATGTAAATATTTATCCAAGAAAAGAAGCATCATTGAAAAATAATCACCTATTAGTTTATAGTAAGTTATAAATTGCAAGTAATTTATAGTAGAATTAATAAGAGCAAACTTCAATGTTTTACAAGATTATTTAATGTATATCTATTCTTTAATTATAAATTGAGCATTATTATTCCAGATGGTGTAATCCTTGTCGCATGTTAACCCCAAGAATAGAAACTGTTGTTGCTGAAAAACAAGGAAAGATATTATTAGCTAAAGTTGACATTGATGAAAATACAGATCTTGCTCTTGATTACCATGTAAGTTTTTCTATATATATATATATATAAACAGACACAATGATTTGTATTTGTTTATATATATATTTACTTGATATAGTGGCTAATTTATCCAAGCTGATTTCATAACAAATTAAATTTCACAGAAGTCCAACAAATTTCAATTAATTTTAATTAATCTTAAGTAAAAAAATATATTCATAATTTATTAATATTTAATAAATCTATTATATAATTTAACACAATATAGAAAGAACCTGTATTTTTAACTGCAATATTTTTTAGGTTGGATCTGTACCTGTACTCATTGCTATGAAGGATGGAAAGGTTTTGGAGAGAATTGTTGGTCTTCAAGATACTGATAAACTTAGACAATTTGTTAACAAATACGCAGAATAAAAAGTGTAGCTAAAAATTATTACATAAATACATTTTTAACAATTGCAATATATTGAGGGGGTTTTCGTTTTGTATAAAGAATTTCTATGGATAGATATGTACATCTATATACATACATACATACATATATATATGTATGTATACATGATGTGTACATACACATATATAAAACTTTTGGAATGCCATATTATGTAAAGAGTGTCCCAAAATTCATGCAAGAAGTAATTTTGATAGAAAACAGGCTTATAATTAAAAATTGTAAATTTTTTATTGATTACATAAAGTATACAGTATAGGGTTATGTATGGAATGGTATATCGGGTAAATGGCCACAGCGAAGAGAGTTTGTTGAATGGATTATGGAATAACAACAAGTGGATACTGATTTTTCGAACAAAATCATCTGCAATGAGGCTCATTTTCATCTTGATGGTTTGGTTAATCGACAAAATTATCGCATTTGGGGTTCAGAAAATCTACGAGTGATTGTTGAGAAACAAATACATCTACAACGTGTCATTGTTTAGTGCGGATTTTGGGCTGGAGGCATCATCGGATCATTGTTCTTCGAAAATGCGGCTGATCAGGCAATGACAGTTAATGGTGCTCACTATCGCGACATGATAATCCAGTTTTTTGTGCCTAAATTACAAGATATGGATGTAGACGACATGTGGTTTCAACAAGACGATGCCACATGCCATACAGCCCGAGAAACAATTCAATTACTGCATGAGTCATTTCTTGGTCGTGTAATTTCCCGTTTCGGTGATCAGATTTGGCCGCCCAGGTCATGCGATTTAACGCCGTTGAACTTTTTTCGTTGGGGTGTTTTGAAGTCTAAGGTTTATGCCAACAAGCCCACGACCATCCACGCCTTGAAGAAGGGAAATTGAGCGCTGTATCAACGAAATTCAGCCACATTTATGCAAAACGATAATGGAAAATTTCAACAAAAGAGTGCCAGCAAAGCTGTGGAAGCCATTTACTCGATATGCTATTCCATACATAACCATATGCTGTATACTTTATGAATCAATAAAAAATTTACAATTTTTAATTATAAACCTAAATAAATAAATTATAAACCTTTTCTATCAAAATTACTTGCGTGAATTTTGGGACACCTTTTATATGTATGTATAATGTTTCTTATAGCTTGGCCACTTGAGATATCTATTCTATCTGATAAAAAAAAAATCTGAAAAAATTTACTATTCAAAAGGGTGATTATGATAATGACATTTTTTAAAGTTATTTTTTTCGAAAATTTCGAAGCTAAAATTTTTTAAATCAAACTTGTTTGGATAATAATCTTATAGCATTGAATGGATTTCAACAATCTATAGTAGTATGTCTTACAAATGGTTCTTGACACATAAGAAATATATATCCAAGAAAAATAAGAAAGAAAAATAAATTATGTTTTTTAGTATAAAGGTTTATTTCAAAAAGTATTTATCAAAATGATATTCATCAATTTCAATATATTTTTTAATATAAAAATAAATTTTTGTAAATAAATAACCTTTTTGCACTATTCCTAATATGATGGAATTACTTGCAGGATTTGTTCTTATATATTTTGCGATATTATAGGATTATCATCAAAAATCTTATTTTTAGTATCCCTATAAAAAGAAATCTAATGAGTTTAAATCTAATGATCAAGCCGGACAGCGAATTCTAACACCTAAAAAATATAAATTTTTTTATTTTTCCATTTTTATGGAACATATACAGGGTGTCCCATTTAACCTGACAAATCGTAATATCTGGAAAACTACATGTCGGATCAAAAAAAGTGGGTAATGAAATTTGTTCGCCTCGAAGGGGGACATCCAATGATATCAAACTCGACCTCCCACCCCACTCCCGGGGGGTGGGGGTGGGGGGCAACTTTGAAATCCTAAATGGGAACCCCCATTTTTATTGCAGATTCGGATTCTACGTCACAAAATACGTAAGTTTCGTCCGAAATTTTTTTGATTCGTGATAGATGGCGCTGTAATCGCAAAAAATTCGATTTTCTGCAGTTCTCCAGAAATGATCATTGGATTGAAAAATAAAAAAATATCTGTTCAATATTTTAAAAAATATTTTTAAAAAACAATAACAGTTATTCCCCCCCATCCCCTCGGGGTAGGGTGGGTGGTAACGTTCAAATCTCAAATGAGAACTCACATTTTTCATTGCAGAATTAGATTTTACGTGAAGTTTTTATGGAAACAATTTTTTTCATTTTTTTCACTCACCTAAAACAAGTACCCCGATGGTGAGAGGCGAGGGGACTCACCTAAAACAAGCACCCCGATGGTGAGAGGCAAGGGGACTCACCTAAAACAAGCACCCCGATGGTGAGAGGCGAGGGGACTCACCTAAAACAAGTACCCCGATGGTGAGAGGCGAGGGGACTCACCTAAAACAAGCACCCCGATGGTGAGAGGCGAGGGGACTCACCTAAAACAAGCACCCCGATGGTGAGAGGCGAGGGGACTCACCTAAAACAAGCACCCCATAGAGAACAGAAAGCTACTACGTCCTCGTCGTTGTTCCTGGGTAACGCTAAAAGTAGTTTCTCGGAAAAATTCAACGCTATCTATCACGAATGAAAAAAACTGTTTCCATAAAAACTTCACGTAAAATCTAATTCTGCAATGAAAAATGTGGGTTCTCATTTGAGATTTGAACGTTACCAGCCACCCTACCCCGAGGGGATGGGGGGGAATAACTGTTATGTTTTTTCAAAATATTTTAAAAACATTGAACAGGTATTTTTTTATTTTTCAATCCAATGATCATTTCTAGAGAATTGCAGAAAATCTAATTTTTGCGATTACAGCACCATCTATCACGAATTAGAAAAAAATTTCGGACGAAACTTACGTATTTTGTGGCGTAGAATCCGAATCTGCAATAAAAAATGGGGGTTCCCATTTAAGATTTCAAAGTTGCCCCCCACCCCCACCCCCCGGGAGTTGGGTGGGAGGTCAAGTTTGATATCATTGGATGTCCCCCATCGAGGCGAACAAATTTCATTACCCACTTTTTTTATCCGACGTGTAGTTTTCCAGATATTACGATTTGTCAGGTTAAATGGGACACTCTGTATATTTTCTGTATCAGGAATCGCCCGTAAGTATATTGTTGTAGGTTGCTGAAATCCATTTAATATTGATTATAAGATCGTGTAACAAAACAGTATAGTTCCATTTAACAAAATGATCTTGACTTTGAAATTTCCGAAAAAAAATTTGAAGTGTTCCTATCATCATAATTGCCCTCTTGAACAATGTAACTTTTTGCGACATTTTTCCATATTATCAAAAAATAAAAATATTTGATATAATCAAGATGTATGAAACATCCTGTATATGAGTGTGTGTGTGTGTGTGTGTGTATACAGAGTGTCCCCAAAAGTAACGGACCACCCCAATAACTCTTCACTATTGAAGTTTCAAAAAAAATGGTCCGAATAAAAGTTGTAGGGATTTAAGTGAGCTACCTTATGATGACCTTGACTTTGACCTTGACCTCTATTTTCAAGATCAACTTGCATTTTTTAAATGGAATCCCTTCTTTTTTATTACACTGTTTTTTTCTACTAGTTAATTTGAACAACTTTACGAAATCTGGCCAACTATTTGTCGGAAGAAAAAGTAGTACTAGACTTTTTTACTTTATTTAGTCTCAAGAATATATTTTTACAATAACGCCCTAACTTTTGTTAACTTACTGATTTTTGGAAATTTCAAAATCGTCAAATCAACAAAAATCAGGGCGCTATTGTAACAATATATTCTTGAAACTAAATGAAGCAAGGAAGTCTAGTACCACTTTTTCTACCGACAAATAATTAGCGAGATATCGTAAGTTAAGTATTGCAAAAGTTATCAAGTTTTCTTCAAATATCTAAAAAAATATTGAGCAAATAAAAAAATGTTTTAGACAAAAGTTGTTCAAATTAATTGGTAGAAAAAAAATGTAATAAAAAGTAAGGTTTCCCATTTAAAAAACGCAAGTTGTTCTTTAAATGACTTTCAAGGTCGAAGTCAAGGTCAAATTTGAGGTCATAAAAAAACAGAACTTTATGAACCCTAAAACTTTTGTTTGGGCCATTTTTCTTTATAATGCATAAATTCTGAGATAGACGGGGATCCGTTACGTTTGGGAAACTTGGTATATATATATACTAGGTGATCCGAAATTCCCGCATTCGGAGTACAGGACATACTTTATGCTAAAACAAACAACTTTTTCCTTTAGCAAAATTGCGTCCGACAAGTAGTTTTTGCAGGAGAGCGTGTTAAATTTAACGAATAAGCGCTCTTGTCTATATAGCGCTCAGGGCCGGCGCGTGCGCCTCACTCGCGTGTACCTAGTCCGTGATTAGTAATCATAAGTAGTGTCTTTTAAGACGCTCATACAGTTCTGTTGTGATTAGATTTACGACATTTTAAGACTGTGCTTAAAACAATTTTAAATAATGAGAATCAATTATGAATAATACCGGGATTTGACCTGCTTTCGTATTTGTATTGTTTAAATAATGAAAAGTTAATAAAATAAGTACTGCCTTTATTTCTCACGTAATAAATGAATAAAATATTGTCTGGTTACACAATATTATCTGAAAATAGAGACAAATGTAAATAGTAATATATTTTGCGAGCTGTGAGCGTTCTATTATTCCAAATATTGCACAATTACGTGATAATTAAATAGTAACATTAAATTTAAAGAATAATTTACTGATCAAGCGTATACATATTTGTAACAGTGATTAAAAGTAAAATATTTGAGTTAACGTCTTTTAAGAGCTCTCTTTATTTTTTTATAATACAAAATACAAAGAACTTATTTAAAATTCAAATTGTGTGATATATTCATATCACAGTCTACATTTATTATTGCTTATGCACGTTAGCCTTTCGATAGGTACTTTCCTTACATGTTTCGATTATTGCGAGGAATATTGCTATAGCCTCAATGATTTATTTTCTTAACTTGACCATTGAGGCTATAGCAATATACTTCGCAATAATCGAAACATGTAAGGAAAGTATGTATTGAAAGGCTAACGTGCATAAGCAATAATAAATAAATGTCCGTGATAATAAATAAAAGACCGTGACGTGAATATATCACACAATTTGAATTTTAAATAAGTTCTCTGTATTTTCTATTATATAAAAATAAAAAGAGAACTCTTAAAGGACGCTAATTCAAATATTTTACTTTTAATCACTGTTACAAATATGTATACGCTTGATCAGTAAATTATTCTTTAAATTTAATGTTACTATTTAATTATCACGTGATTGTGCGATATTTGGAATAATAGGACGCTCACAGCTCGCAAAATATATTACTATTTACATTTGTCTCTATTTTCAGATAATATTGTGTAACCAGACAATATTTTATTCATTTATTACGTGAGAAATAAAGGCAGTACTTATTTTATTAACTTTTCATTATTTAAACAATACAAATACGAAAGCAGGTCAAATCCCGGTATTATTCATAATTGATTCTCATTATTTAAAATTGTTTTAAGCACAGTCTTAAAATGTCGTAAACTAATCACAACAGAACTGTATGAGCGTCTTAAAAGACACTACTTATGATTACTAATCACGGACTAGGTACACGCGAGTGAGGCGCACGCGCCGGCCCTGAGCGCTACATAGACAAGAGCGCTTATTCGTTAAATTTAATACGCTCTCCTGCAAAAACTACTTGTCGGACGCAATTTTGCTAAAGGAAAAAGTTGTTTGTTTTAGCATAAAGTCTGTCCTGTACTTCAAATGCGGGAATTTCGGATCATCCAGTATATATATGTATGTATATGTATACAGGGTGCACGATTTATCTGAAGACATTGAAATATCTCGAGAACTATGCATTGGATAAAAAAAAGTGGTTAATGAAAGTTGTTAGTCTCGAATGGGGACATCCAATGATACCAAACTCGACCTCCCACCCCACCCCCTGGGGGTTGGGAGCAACTTTGAAATCTTAAATGGAAACCCCCATTTTTTATTACAGATACGGATTCTACGCCACAAAATATGTAAATTTTGTCCGAAACTTTTTTTTTAATTCATGATAGATGGCGCTATAATCGCAAAAAATTATATTTTCCGCAATTCTCCAGAAATAATCATTGGATTGAGAAATAAAAAATACCTGTTCAATATTTTTAAAGAACATAAAAGTTATTCCCCACCCATCCTCTCGGGGTAGGGTGGGTGGTAACGTTCAAATCTCAAATGGGAACCCACATTTTTCATTGCAGAATTAGATTGTACGTGAAATTTTTATTGAAACAATTTTTTTCATTCGTAATAGATAGCGTTGAATTTTTCCGAGAAACTACTTTTAGCGTTACACAGGAACAACGACGAGGACGTAGTAGTTTTATGTTCCCTTCGGGTGCTTTTTTAATGTGAGTCCCCTTGCCTCTCACAGATCGGGGTGCTTTTTTAATGTGAGTCCCCTTGCCTCTCACTGTTCAATTAATTAGAGTAAGTGTTCGAAATTTTGCACCGCCTTTTATAATAAGTCGCAGTTCGCCATACACCCACAGTGGCGCGTCGAGCAGTTCCCTCTTCGATTCGGGTTCCCATTTGAGATTTGAACGTTACCACCCACCCTACCCCGAGAGGATGAGGGGGGGAATAACTTTTATTATGTTCTTTAAAAAATATTGAACAGATATTTTTTATTTCTCAATCCAATGATCATTTCTGGAGAATTGCGAAAAATATAATTTTTTGCGATTACAGCGCCATCTATCACGAATCAAAAAAAAAGTTTCAGACAAAATTTACGTATTTTGTGGCGTAGAATCCGTATCTGCAATAAAAAATGGGGGTTCCCATTTAAGATTTCAAAGTTGTCCCCAACCCCCATCCCCAGGGGGTGGGGTGGGAGGTCGAGTTTGGTATCATTGGATGTCCCCCTTCGAGACTAACAATTTAGTTACAATTTTTAAATATTGTAGTTTCATTAACCACTTTTTTTTATCCAATGCATAGTTCTCGAGATATTTCAATGTCTTCAGATAAATCGTGCACCCTGTATATAGCATATTTATATTTATATATGGCACTCCAAAAAGTGTTTCTACTATACTTATAGCATATTTCTTGATTACTAATTATATTCCAATATATTATGTAGATTTATCTGTAAAATAGTCTGACACATATATACGTGCATACATGACTAAATTTAATAAATTTCAATTAAACTGTGACATGAATTGTATTTTAAATTAAATGTTTTTATTTGATAGATTTAAATTATGGAATAAAATTATACCATTGATTTAACACCAAATATAATGTTTTGAAGTATCAGATATTAAATTAAGCTAGAAAGTTCCAACATTTCAAAAGTGGTAAAACTTTCCAAGAAAGGATGATATTTGTATGAAAACAATTTACTTAGTACTTATTCATTTAGTAACGTGAAAAACTATGCATATGTATATGTACATAATACAATATATAATGTAATATTAAACTGTCATATTAAATAATGTTCAATATACGTAGACTAACACAATATATATAATTTATTTTTTCTTTTGTTATTCTTCAAATTAAAATGTTGGAAGTTTCTTGCTTTTAATATATATAATTCTATTCAACTTTCCACTCCAGATCAAACATTATAGTTTTTCCTCATATTGCAGTTTGAAATAATGAAATTTTGTCATATACTATCACTCAGAATTGACACATGAGAAATTTTAAGGTCTATTTTTCAACGCTTTATTACTAACGAAAATTTTTTTTTAATTAAAAACTATCTGTCAGTTGGTAAAGCTTGTAAAAGCTGCCTTGCTCTTTTATAAGCGATCGATTCCATAATTTCATTTCTGCTTTCTTCATTCTCGTCCTCTTCTACTTTCCTTATAACGTCCATTCCCTTTCTTAATAGCACTTCCCGCGCCATGCCTTTGCAACCTTCGAAGTATTCCAAAACAATAGGGAAAATTGTATCAGGTATAGAATTTTCATCCAATAAATTATCTATTAGCCAAATCTGCCTAATTTTCTCAAATTTCCATTCACTTCTGGAATGTTTCCACTGTGAAAAGATAATTGTATATTGCGTATGTTATATGTATAATATATGTATGTTGCATGCATATATTGCATGTATATTCCAGAATCAGTTATTTAAGTGCCATAAATATAAGTAATATAAAAATGAACAGTTTTGAAAGACTACCTTAGACACATAACTTAATGCTCTCTGCATAGCATATATTCTACTGGCATGTCTCTTTTGAGCTTCTCTTTGTAGAGCTTTTTCTCTTTTCAGTTGCCTTTTAGATGGTTTTCTCGAAGCTTTTGTATTCTCATCAATGTCTTCCTTCAGAATATCTTCATCGATAGTAGTATCACTATTACAATAAATTATTCAGTCTAATATATTTCATAGATTTTTTTGTTAACTAGATATTTTCATATCTTTCTATTTATTAATATCATTTTCTTAATTATTTAGGATTTGAAATTAATTCTAAAATTTAATCACTTTTACAAATGTGTAGAAAATATAATAATATTTACTACAATTACTACTAAAATATATTTTGAAAAATAACTGATTTCTTTTTATATGTATTATCAAATAAAAGTTTCTTACTTGACTTTCTCCAATGATCTCCCTGAATTTCCAATTTCTTCTGTAATAAATTTTATTTTCTTTCGTCCTGTTTGTTTCTCTTGTATAATACTTTCCTGAAAGGTCTTATTTTTTTTATAATGGTTGTTTATAGTATCAGCATCTGTAAAAATGATTATTTAAGATATATCTAAAATTATATAATTAAACAAGGAATAATTTATTATAATGAGGTAAATTAATGATAGAAAATAAAATATTTTTATTCTTTATTTTGAATAAATTGAATTTGAAGATTGAAAAATAATTAATATTTAGTTTTAATTTTATACTGCTTTATTAAATTTAAATAATCTTTATCAATCAATTATTATAGTTAGCTTCAATATTTTATTAAATAAACATTAATATTATTCTGCCCACAAATATAAAAAGATTTATTTTATTTTATTTATATTTGTTTTGTTGATATTTTAATATAATATATAATAAGATTAATAAAATATTTGCTGATACATATATATTACAAATATAAAATATAATTATGGATATATACTAAATAAAAATATAAAATATAATACAAGGTGTTTCAGAAATAGATAGCCAAACTTTAGAAGTATATTTTGTTCACTGTAAAGATGAAGAAAGGTCACATAAACATGGATTTGGGAATATTTTCTTTCTAAGTTATAATCATTTTATATTTACAATAAACAACATGTATTGCATTGATATGTCATGCATTATACTTTATTCATCTTCTATTAAAAACAAATAAATTAGCAGATAGGTTTGTTCGGAATTGAAATCAGTTTTTATTTAAGCATTTAAAAGTTAAAACAGTATCAAGATAGCAGCTTAATCTATGTTTTTACCAAAATTTGTTGCAAATAAAAAATATTTATAACTTGAAAAAGAAGAATTTCTGGTCTCATATTTATATATGATCTCTTTCGTTATCTTTACAATGAAAAGAATATGTCTTTAAAATTTGGTCGCCTATTTCTAAAAAACACCTTATAATCACATATATAATATATATATACTCTACACCATATAATATATTAATATGAATTTTTTATTTATTTTCATATACAAAAAGAGAATATCATATTTTTATAATTAAAAATTATACTTTACATACTTAGGATATAATACAATATTCCAAAATATAGTAATAATATAGTGACAAAAATACTTGCAGATATTGCTGCACAAGTGACATTTAAAAAAATATATTTAATTAATAAATTTACTATAAAATTATCAAAACTTACCATTAGTCTTTGACTTTTCTCCTTTTCGTTTCCTCGGTTGTCTAAGTTCTGTTTTCGTCGTATTCTCGGCATCCATATTATCGTAAATAACAAATTATTGACGTTTTTTAGTATGTTTTAGCACATGTAATCAATCATATTATACAATTTACCGAAATAAATATCTTACGAAATGATCTGATTTAAAATGTGCCATGCGGTTCACGTGCAACTAACCTAACGCACATCACCATGCGGTTGATGTCATTACGAATTGACATTAGATTAGGCTAGGTTTGTGTTAACAGCTGATCCAAATCAAATTTAGATTGATTTTTATGAAACTATAAAAATTATTTTTAAAAATGAAAAATTTTAAGAACTTAAAATATTGTATGAGAGTACTTGTCAATTTTTATAGAATAATGAACTCATTAAACATAAAAATTACATATAACAATGAATAACAAATTTACATGAATTATTGACTATTATTAAGATAAAAAATATAGATGTTTAATTTACATATGTATATGTTTATTATTATTAATAAATAGTAACTATTATCTCATATAAGCGTAGCTGAATAATTATCAATAAAACTGAACATTAAATAATTTAATATATATAATCACACATGTATGCATACATTATTCATACACATATATATACACATTGTACACACATACACATATACAAATATATATAAAAATGATTCATATAAATAAATAAATGTCCTAAACAACATAAAAGTTTCAAGAGGTGTCTTGGAAATGAGAACATCCTTACAACATGAATGACATCTAGACATCTTCTAGATGTTCCTTTGGAGGTTTGTACTGTCTGAGAATTAGTTACCTTAGTACACAGAATAAAACTATTATATAACATAGAAGTGACATATGTAATAGAATTGCTGTTATAAGTTATTAATATTGTGGTTACTTGATTTCTTTATATAACAGCGATATAACTGTTTTAAAAATATATTATTTTATTATGTACTGGTTATAACAAAATAATAGCAATATAATTTAAATGTAAAATATTATATAATAATTACAGTGTTCATGTTACACTTATATAACATTTTTATATACAGTATTATATATAGTATACATAACAAATGTTGGTTCATTCTGTACAGGATATCTATTTCTAATATGCAAAATATGAAGCATTAATGCATATAAGAATGGTAATCTCAACATGGCAACATTTGGAGGTTACTCTTTCTAGATAGCAAAACCTATAAAAGCAGATTTTGCACAGTGTTTGTTACAGACTACCAAACACTTGCTAGTAGATATACAAGATCTGCTAGCAGATAATGATAGCAGGAACTAATCAGGATGTTATTTATACGTTATTTAAACATTTTATTTTTACATGTTATTTACACATTACATTTTTGTTATATAACTGTAATATCATTTAAATATAAAGTTACATCTAACATGTTACATATAACACACAATATTCTATAAATATTCTATGCCACATTCAGTATATTATGTTCTAGTAAATAAAATTATTCTTAACATCAAATTATTCTTAATTATCTACGAATATTAACTTTTCTTTATTACTTTTTAAATAATTATACATACATGACAATTGGTTTCGACTAAAATGAGTATTCTGTAGTTTGTTAAACTAATTTTGCCAACTAAAAATTTTGTATTCTAATAATAGGCTAGAAAATATCAAAAAAGAAACAAAATACATAAAATATCTGAAATATGAAATACATTAGTACTTATTTTAGCAAAAATCTAAAAATTATCTATTAGGAGTACAAATAAGTTTCCGCCGTTTGACAAAAGATGGCCCCAGCAGAAGATTATATTGAAATTGTCAGATGTAAAACGTAATATCGTAAGTTTGGACATCTGGGAACAACATAACTTTGAAGTATTAATGACTCCGTATCAGCATCACATAATTTTTTTCGTGCGAAAATGTCAAGTTTTGTGCCGAATAAGCGTCATTTGCGGGAACTTTTGATTTACTTCTTTAATTTAAAGAAATCTGCAGTTGAGACGCGTCGATTGCTTGTAGAAGTGTAAGATACAGACGAGGGAGGACAGCACCAGTCCCTTCCGGGGGAGCCACGGGAGAAAGGCCGCTCCTGCATTCGATTCGACAGATGGAATAAAACGAGACGAATAAGCGGAGGCAAGGCTTTTTGCCATTGAACGTTGAGACGAGTAATAATAATCAAGTCGAGTCGAATAAACAAGTCGTACATTGTTAATCTTTGTAAAGAGATATATTTAGTATAAATTGCGGTGTCGGTATTATTGTATTTGAGTTCTTTTAAAATATACATATACTTATATTCTTGTTCACTATAAGAGGAGTTTCACGTTGATCGCTCGGAACCTTTACATCCTGAACATCCCCTTTCTCTAACTAAGGAGGAGGATCTAGAAGAAGAGAGATTAAAAGAGAAAGGAACAAAGATATAGACGATATCTCTTTTAAATCTTACAGAAGCATATGGTGAGACTGCTTTAAGTGAGAGAAGTTGTAGTGAGTGGTTTCAAAAGTTTGAAAACGGTGAGTTTGACGTGGAAGACGAAGAACGTAGTGGAAGGCCGAAAGTGTACGAAGACATGGAATTGGAAGCATTATTGGAGGAAGATTCGTGCCAAACGCAAGAAGAACTTGCACTTATATTAGAAGTGACTCAACAAGCAATTTCACATCGTTTAAAATCGTTGGGAATGATTCAAAAACAAGGAAATTGGGTTCCATATGAACTAAAGCCGAGAGACGTTGAACGCCGATTTTGCACGTGTGAAATGCTGCCAGGCATAAAAGAAAGAGTTTTTTGCATCGTATAGTCACTGGTGCTGAAAAATGGATCCATTACGATAATCTAAAGAGAAAATCATGGGGACCACCTGGCCATGTTTCAACATCGACAGCCAAACCGAATATTCATGGAAAAAAACTCATGCTGTGTATTTAGTGGGATCAGCTTGGTATCGTGTATTATGAGTTGCTCAAACCGAGCGAAACCATTACTGGAGCTCTCTACCGAACACAATTAATGAAATTGAGCCGAGTACTCAAGGAAAAACGCGCACATTACTACTCCAGACACGACAAAATTATTCTCTTACATGACAACGCTCGGCCACATGTTGCAAAACCGATCAAAACCTATTTGGAAACACTTAATTGGGAAGTCCTACCCCACCCGCCATATTTACCAGACATTGCCCCTTCCGATTATCACTTGTTCTGGTCGATGGCACATGGCCTGTCTAAGCAGCGCTTTACATCGTATGAAGATATTAAAAATTGGGTCGATTCGTGGATAGCCTCAAAAGATGAAGAGTTCTTTCGACGTGGTATCCGAATGCTGTCAGAAAGATGGGAAAAAGTAGTGGCTAGTGATGGACAATACTTTGAATAAAACGTAATGTACCGTTATTTCACAATAAATTCCTAATTTTTGATAGAAAACGGCGAAAACTTATTTGTACTCCTAATATTAGAAATTTAATTATTAGCTTTTATTACGAAAGAATATGTAATAAAATAATGTGTAACACGGAATCAAAGGGTTTGTTCTTTCCAGCTGAACTCTCTGCATTAGTTCAAAAAGTGTACACTGAAGCGTTCTTTCTAGCAGAAGTGACGTAGATGTTAATGTTTTTTTCAACGGTGCAGTAGAACTTAAGCCCGGTCCAGAATAGGTTGCAAACACAGGGCTGGTTCAGCAGAACAAAGGGTGCTTAAAACCAGTGGCACACGGTGCTTGTTTTCGTGCTGGATTGCTTGCTGGATGAAAATACTGCGTTCTGATTGATACATTTCCGAAGATGGATGGAAATGCATCAATCAGAACGCAGTATTTTCATCCAGCAAGCAATCCAGCACGAAAACAAGCACCATGTGCCGCTGGCTTTACGAAGAAGCACTCAGGGCTGCGTTCCAATATTCACTGCCAGTGCTGAAAATCCATAATATACGTGACACGAACTATTTATTTTCAGTACCGATAGTGAATATCGGAACGCAGCGCAGGGTTAAGCTAAGACTCCATGCATGCGGTGAGCTGCGGCAAATGCTGCGATGACCAAGCAGGAGGGAGGCGCAAGTCCGGTTGCGGCAAGCTCCGGCATGCGTCTGTCTCCTGATTGGTCACCGCAGCCGTTTGCCGGAGCTCACCGCATGCATGGAGTCTTAGCTTTAGTTTCGGATCAAAAGTACGAATGCCACTCTATAATCTTAGTATTTCATGTTCTGCCATTTCTGTCTCAAATAGCGATTGGGTTGTCACGGGTATTTTCATTCAAGCAGGTGATAAATATATTATATTTTAGAAGATAAATATATTGTATATTTAATAAAATAAAATAACTTCTTCAAAAACAAATCATGTCAAATCATTTACAACATATACTACCATGTTGTAATAATAAATTAATTATAATTGATATTCGTATATTTACAGGGAGAAAAATGGATTTAATAAATATGTGGGACTTATTTTTTGAAGAAGAATTAGAAGATGAGTACTTGGGACTTGTACGAGAGCGGCATATAAAAATTATAAATTTTTATGAAAACATATTGTGGGAACCTACTCCTTAAATGGTAACAATTAATCTGACTTGTATTATTATAGGATAGGAAAAGTATATATAATTACAAGACATCAATAAATAGTAGACATATAAAAAAAGTAATACAACATTTATGTACCCTGCAAATTTTTAAACATATTTTCGTGTAGAAAAAAGAACATTTGAACAACTAGTACAAGAGTTTAGTCCATTATTGTATAGAGATCGAGGCCCTAATAAAATATCACCTGAGAAACAGATTGCGATATCATTGTGGTTTTTTGGGAATCAGGAAGTATATAGGTAAATGATTTTATAATATTTTGATACCTTGAAAAACATCTAAAAATTTCTATTTATTATGTAACTTATTCAATTGAAAATAAAGTGTTAAATTATATGATGTTTATTTTAATCTAATAACTATTTTTAGTACAAAGTTAATTTTTAATTGCATATAAATCATAACTAATATTGACATAATTATATAAACAACGGAAATTATATAAATTCAAAATAAATTTTGATTGATTAAATGAGAAGAGTTCTATACTAGTTTGATACGCCTTTATATTTAAAATCGTCTTACATTTATCTTCAGTAGTATAAATTATTGGCTATGGAGCATTTGCAGAACATAAGACGATCTTAAATATAAAACTTTCAGATATATTTTATTTATTATATCAATGCTGACAATTGAATATTTTTATTAGTTTGTAGTAGTAAATATGTAAAAATTTATAATATTTATAACTAATATTTATATTTAAAGATATTTCATTTTATTCATTTTAATTTCTCAATTTCAGTTAAATTACAATTATTTACAATTTTATGATATATAAAATTTTATAACATTCAAATTAATTTCAGATGTATAGGTGACCGATTTGATGTGTCTAAAGACACTGTATGGAGATGCATATTAAATATCCAAAGTATTATGTACTAACATACATAATTATATAAAATGGCCTGAACCATTACAAATGAACCAATCTCAACAGAAGTTTGCAAATATAGCTAATTTACCTGGTGTTATAAGTGCCATCGATGGATGTCATATACAGATTAGTGCTCCTGTAACAGACTCTCATTGTTACATTAATAGGAAGGGCTATCATTCAATTCTTTTACAAGGAATTTGTGATACCACATTAAAATTTATAGATGTATTTACCGGTATTTGTGGAAGTGTCCATGATTCCTGTGTTTGGTACATGAGCGACATTAGGCATTTAATAGTAAATAATGATCATAATTACTTTCGAGATCATTATTATATAATTAGTAATGCAGCGTAACCATTATCTAATCACCTGCTCACACCATATCATGATAATGGACATTTTCAACATTGGAAAATTAATTATAATACGAAACATGCTAAAACTCTTGTTGTAATCGAATGGGCGTTTAGCATGTTATTAAGCAGATTTCGAAAATTAAAATATATATACATATATAACACTGAATTTGTTCCTCTTATTCTTGCATGTTGTATTCTACATAATATTTGTATTAATATTGAAGATGAAGAAATAGTTATTGATCCTGTATATAAACATGCATGAAATTGATATTGGTGAAGATTTTGAAGAAAATGTTAAAAGAGACACATTTATTATAATTAATATTAATAAAATTATGATAGGAATATACAAAACGATGTATATAAATAAATATATTGTAATACTGAAAAGTAATAAATTATATATGCATATTCAAAAGTTGAATACTTTATTTCATTACAATTTGGAATAGATAGATAGATATTTATTATTTCAGACATCATTAAGAAGAATTGGCAAAAGGACTTTTTTGGTTTACAAACAACTCAATCCATTCATATATTCACACCTTATCCAAATAAGTCTAATAATAATCTTTTTAATACTCCATTATTCCAACTACATTTAATTATTATGGTATGGAACAATTTTTTCCACATGAAAGTCGAAACACAAATATTGTGCACTAGAAAAACTTCTTTTTGAACAATACTCACAAATTTTTTCACTAAATACTACCTGCATTTATTAAACTGCCTTGTAACATGCGTGCAAATAGTGAAACTGTTTAAGACTTATATATATAAATTAATAATAATAATAACATAAAATTTCCTTAACGTTTTTAATAGCTTATATTAATTTCTAATCTATCAGTCTTATGTAATTTATTAAAGCTTTTCTCGTATCTGAAAATAAAACTTATAACTTCTAACAAAACTTTATAACAATATTACATTTAATACCGCATTATATTAAATAAAACAAAATTATCATAAGTTTTTATCATATCTATCTAGTACATTGCACAAATATAATGCATAAAATAAATGAATTACTCAACATCACAGTATTTTAATAAGCACAGTAATTATATTTTTACTGTTTCATATGACATGTTAAATATTACTTTTATATGATAACAAAAAAACATTAATTAACTCATATTTCATTTCTAATCAACTCAGTTTAAAATTAAAAATAAAATTTATATTATAGTAAATTTAATATTCAGAAATGCAAAAATACTTATATTTGATTCTGTTTTTGTAAAATAGATAAGAATTTTTCTCTTTGTGCCATTATTTCTTTGTGATGTCTTTCACGCTATAATCTCAGTTGTGCACAGTAAGGCTCATTCATATTTTTATGTTTTCTGATCTTACCAAGCCTATTTGTTCGATTACTACATGAAGGTATTTCTTCACAATTATTTTCATTATCCTCATCTATATCTAAATTTCCAGTTATTCGAAAACCATTAGTGCTGGACGCAACAGACAGTGGTGTTATTTCTGGATGTTTCTTAAGAATGTCATCGATGGCGTCATAGTGAATCCAGTATTGTCTATCAGCACCAGATTGCTTATTATTATCTTTGATAGATTTATATCTTTTCTTTAAGCTTCTCCATTTATTGTTGCAATGATCGGCACTGACATTGTATGCTTTTATATTAATATCATTTGCAATAGACTTCCAAACAGTTTTGTATACTTGATGACCAAAGGAATTTATGCATACACTAATTTCTTGCAATAATAATTTTGTCATATCCTCATCCCAATAAATTCTGTTATTACTATCTATAAAATTTAAATAAAATATATTATCAAAAATAACAAAATTTACTAAATTATATAATTGCAATTGCTTTTTTACTTACTATTATCAGCCATAGGTTGTATTTCTTGTGTCCTTCTTCCTGCATAATTCTCCATCTGATTTAACAATAAAATAAATAAGAATTTTAAAAACTTATAAATATTCTTATAAAAACTTATAAAAAAGATTACATTTCATTGATTCTTATGCTACTAATATTGGTTTTACCAATCTTAATTAAACTTTAATCTGAATTTGTCTTTATTTGAATTAACTTAGATTAAGATTTAATCGACATTGGCAGAATTGTACATAAGATATGTTATAAGAAAGACTGTTGAAAAAGTATACCCACACAGCACTGCAATATTGAAGCAATATTATAATATCGTAGTAATATTATAAATCACAAGATTATTATATAATATTCCAGCAATATTATCACAATATTACAGAGTGATATATCAGATTACAATATCACTGGAATATTACTGCAATGTTACAATGTGACTATCGTATGGCAATATAGTGACAATATTATAACAATATTGCGAGATGATAAATCTCATTGCAATATCACAGGAATATTGCCGCTATATTCCAGCATGATAGACCGCTACGTAATATTTCTGAATATCGCAGTAATACTTCAATGTGATATATCAATCTACAATATCGCAGAAATATTATAACAATATTGCAGAATGATATATCAGATTACAATATCACTGGAATATTACTGCAATGTTACAATGTGACTATTATATGGCAACATAGTGACAATATTACAACAATATTGCGCGATGATAAATCTTATTGCAATATCACAGGAATATTGCCGCTATATTCCAGCATGATAGACCACTATGTAATATTTCTGAGTATCGCAGTAATACTTCAATGTGATATATCAATCTACAATATCGCAAGAATATTATAACAATGTTGCGGAGTGATATATCAGACAGATTGAATAAATCAGCATTATAAAGTGAAAAAACGTTAGAAAAATCGATATAAGATGAAATTCGTGATTTCGGCTGCAATGTTGAGTCCACCATATTGAAAAAAAATTTAGAAAAAAACTACCCACATATTTTTACAAATGTTAATAACGCGATCTTTGTAGTTTCCGATATAAAATAACAATTTTTTTTAAGAAATCAATGATTTTCATAAAAGACAGACTGAAGAAAATACACCGTTTTGTTTAGATCTAAATGGTCAAATTGTAAAAAGCTTACCCGAAAACTCTTAAAAAAATTATTCCCGAAAAGAATTATTAGCGATTTCTTTAATATCTGTTAGCTCAAAGTTTATAGTCACGCTATTGACGGTTGCTGTACTCAGTTTCAGAATCCTTTATTGAATAAGACATAAAATTTTTTCGATTTGCGAAAAATTCTTATTGAGAACTTCTATAAACGTTATTCTTTACGCTATCATTATATTTATATTTCTATTATTGAAAATTGTTTTATATATATATATACACGTTAATATTACATCTATATTTTTATTATAAAAATGATAATGATAAGATATTGATTTTAATAAAAACTTTTTAGCAATTATGGTTTATAGCATCTTACAAATCTTATAAAATTTATGATTCTGAAGCTATGATTACCGAAAATATTTGCGTTTTGACTTAACAGATGAGCGATATATCAGACAATATCACTAGAATATTACAATATCACTGGAATATTACTGCAATGTTACAATGTGACTATCGTATGGCAACATAGTGGCAATATTACAACATTATTGCACGTGATGATAAATCTCATTGCAATATCACAGGAATATTGCCGCTATATTCCAGCATGACAGGCCGCCACGTAATATTTCTGATTATCGCCGCAATACTGCAGTGTGAAATAATTTATATACAGGGTGTTCCATTTTAATGTCACATCACAAATATCTCAGAAACACTGCGTTAAATAAAAAAATGTTTCAGACAAAAGTTGTTTGGCTTGAAGGAGGACAGGAAAACGATAGCATTTTGTTTATAAATGGCGCCACTTTTGAGATATTCACTGACAATCAATTTTCATAAATGGAAATCCGAATTTTTTGTTATATTTTCTTTTTCTATCAATTAATTTGAACAATTTTTGTCTGAAACATTTTTTTATTTGGTTAATATTTTTTGAGATATTTAAAGAAAACTTGGTAACTTTTTCAACATTTAACTTACGATATCTCGCTAACTATTCGTCGAAAGAAAAAATAGTATTAGACTTTTTTACTTTATTTAATATCAAGAATATATTAATAGTGCCCTAACTTTTGTTAATTTAATAATTTTGAAATTTCCAAAGGTCGATACAAAAGTTAACAAAAGTTAACAAAAGTTAGGGCACTATTATAATAATATATTCTTGATAGTAAGTAGTAAGTAAGATAAGATGGACCAACCACAGTTGATTATTTTTGTCATAATCGACTGTGATTGGTTTATTTCTTATCGCTTACGTTTACTTACTGCTTACTGCCATTGTAGACCACGCTTGAGATATTTTTGTGAGATTTATGCCTAGGACATTAAGTATTTTTGCAATATTGCTGTGATATTTATGCAATATTTCAGTAATATTCCTGCAATATTGCAGCAACATTTAAGAAATATTGTAGCAACATTCCTGCAACATTTCTGTAATATTCCTGCAATATTGCGGTGCTATGTGGGTATATATTACAATCATCATCCTCTTGTAATATCTTAAAATAAAACAAATGGATTAAACGTAAAACTGTCCTAAATATTTATGAAGATATTTACATCAGTATTTTTGTACAAGAAAGTTTTAAATAAATAATTTTTAAATAATATATCAACAGCAATAATTATAAGATAAAGGTTAAAAATATTGTATCTACATTTAATATAAATTTATTTGTATGGGATAAAATACATATTTAAATACGTAAAAAATGCTAATTTAAAATTTTTTAAAATTTTATATAAACATATGTCTACGTTATTAAATAAATGTAATATAGACTACGTTTACACGGCTTCTAACTTCGACTTAGTAACACTAATGTTATAACTCCTACTTAAGGTGAGTTGCGTTTACACATTTACGCTTATCTATTTGAAATAACTTAATAACTTTCGAGTGAGTCAAGGATTTCCATTAGTACCAATATAAAAGGCCGAAAAATGAAATGATTGTGATTGTAGTCTATTTGAATCTATTTGAAATAACTTAATAACTTTCGAGTGAGTTAAGGATTTCCATTAGTACCAATATAAAAGGCCGAAAAATGAAATAATTGTGATTGTAGTCTGAATATAAAAGAATTAGAATATGAAAAGAATAGTATGTAAATAAATCAACAAATAAAGTGAACTTTTAGGTTATATTATGAATTTGAAAATTATAAAATATGTATATATCTATATAGTAAAATTTATATAATAAAATATAATATTTAACTAAAAATGAAATTAAAATTTTAGGTTATCAATTTTGGAAAAAATTAATCATGGAAAATATGGAAAGCGTATGCTCGTTTGTTGCTATATATTTGAAAATTGTAGAAAATATGATGATGCAATATTTTGATTAAACGGCGAAAGCGTCAGAAAAAAATTATATTACATTTGTTGAATTTAACACCACCAAATCATTTGCTTGATCTCGGACCCCGTATTACAATTTTCATGACATAAATCAATTTTACAATCAAGTTAAGATGTTCAATTTTTATATTGGTATTATTGTCATATTTACACTGCGTCCGTTTACACGTCTTCCTTACGTCGATGTAGAAACTCTAAAGGCTCGTCTACAATAGCTGTAAGAGTAAAGGCTCGTCTACATTAGCTGTAAGAGTAAGGCTGTAAGGTTGCAAGGCACGAAATGAAATATTTTCATTCGCTGACAGCTTACGTTACAGCCTTACAGCCTTACTCTTACAGCTATTGTAGACGAGCCTTAAGCCTCTTCACTAAATGACTTTGAGTTACTACATCAATGTAATAACAGAGAGAAGAATGAGCGGCCACCGGCCATATTTCGGGGGTACGGCTAGGCGCATTTTAGATACGCCATCTGACCAAAATGCGCCTAAACTACGTCTGCTAGGCGCACTTTCGCGGTGATAAAAGTAAAATGCACCTAGGTTCGTGTCCGTACTACTTCCATGCAATGGATAGTAGGTTAGAAAAAGACAGACGACAGACAATCGTTCCGTCTTTGTCTCACTACTGAGCGGCGCGCGGCAGTAAACACGAGGCGAGGTAGTGGCGATCTTATCGCTAAGTGAACATCTCTCCGCTTTTCTTTCATCTTTCACACTCCAGAGACATCAAAAGACGCGGTAGCGTCTCGTGTCAAGGGAACGTGCGAAGCGAGGAATTATTTTTCACGCACGCGAGATAGCACATGGGAGATTAGACGAGCGTCGACATATTATCTGTTTCTTTCCCGCTCGTCTAGCTTATTGACTGCGTGAGCTGCGAGATTTTTCTCGCTACTCCTACACCTCGCTCTTTCTCTCTCTCGCTCGTTCTTTCTCTCTCTCGCGCACTTGCTCGCTCTTCCTCTCTTCTCGTGTTCTTACGGCTTGATTAAATATATTAATTACATGACAATATATATATAAATAAATGACACATATATAGTGTATATGTATATAAAGAATATTTAGTATTAATGCCCAAATAAAGAAGAGAGAATTATAATGAGAGACGAAAAGTTAATAGAAATCCACTCTTAGCCAATATATACATCTTTTAAAAATGATTTGTTATTAAAGTATATGACAGAATAATTTATTTATGTTAATAAATTTAAATTAAAAATTAAATGATATGTTATTTGTTTTGTAAAAGATATTCCATTGTTACATTTTTCTTTTCGTAGCAAAAATAAATTTAGTCTAGTAAAAAAAGAAATTAGTTTTATTATCATATTTCAATTACGACTTTATTATTTAATTTTACGAATAGATAACGTGCATATTGTTGCTCAACGGAAACCGCGAGAAAATGGTGATCTCCGTCAAAAAATAAATGCAAACTTTTTAATAATATAATAATTTTCTTACGTAAGTGTTTGTTTTTATAGTATAACCTGTTGAATTTTATTAATTATTAATTCAGCATGTTATAGTATAAAAAATATATTTTAATATAAAAATTAATGTAATATTAATTGTTTGCATTTGCAAGAAATATGGATAGAACAGGATAGGTTGCAATGATACATAGGAAGAAAAAAGATAGATGGATAAATAGATAGATAGATAGATAGATAGATATAGAGATAGATATAGATGGATAAATAGATAGACAGATAGATAGATAGATGGATAGATAGATATAGAGAAATAGATAGATAGATAGTTAGATAGTATAGAAAAAAAGATAAATAGAAATATAATTATCATTATTATTATTATTAATGTTTTCAGTTTCAAGAGAACATTCGCTTAACGTAAGTCTTACTTAGGTCCAGTTTCACAACTTATATTATATTAACCGGAATATATTATACGACTTATATTATATTAACCGGAATATATTATACGATTTATATTATTTTAACCGGAATATAATTCGTTAATATTAGAAGTACCGAGCGGTTATTTCTGATCGTTTCTATTTTTTAGATTAATATCCTGTTTCTTTAAGATTACAGGATTTTTGTTTTGAGGGTTTGTTTAATGTGATGTTTGTAAAGAATGTATATAAATTTCTACATATAAGATTAAAAATATGAAAAATATTGCAGTGAAAACAAGAAGGTTCCACGGTGCGCACGATATCTCAATAACTATTTGACCAATCGACTTGCAACTTGGCAGCATTATAAAATAGACTTCTCTTTACCGTTTTAACTACAATTAACCAAATTCATTAATAATTAATATTTTTTATTAAACTTTACCGAGAGGCCAGAAATAGACGATTTTTGTACTAAATGCTACTATTTTATTATTTGTGTTCCGATTGTAGTTCAGACGATAGCTATACTTATAGAAAATAAAAAGCTATTTAAAATAATTGTGAAAAATTAAATCACACACATTTAGAAATTCCTTGGAATCGTCTATTTGCAACCTCTTTGCTTTTACTGCAATATTTTATATATTTTTAATCTTACATACTTGTAGAAAAATGTATATATATTCTTTAAACATCATTAAGCAAACTCTCAAAACCCGTAATCTTTTAATCATGTGATCTTTTTCGCTTCCGCAAAAAAAATTAACGAAATATACATATTTTTTGTTGGGTTGAATAAGACAACTCTTTAAAAGCCTATCTAAACAAAATTACATAATCGCATCATTGATATGCACAAGGAAATCAACCAATCATAATCCGTACAAGCGTGCCTTTTATATTATTTATATTAGACATATTTTATTGGGTGAGTGCAAAAGTTCGTGCGGAGTTTGTGAGTAAAAGTCACACAGTGATTAGGCAAACAAAAATCTTTATTCAATCAATGATATATTCTCCATCGTTTTCTATAATCTTTTCCCAACATTCTGGCAGCATACGGATGCCTCGATCATAAAAACTGCGCGGTTTAGATTCTAAGAACGAAGAGACGCCGTTTTTTAAGGCCTCCAAAGAGTCAAAGTTTTTTCCATTTAAATAATTTTGCAATGACCGGAACAAGTGATAGTCAGATGGTGCGATATCAGGAGAATGCGGTGGATGCGTTAAGACATCCCATTTCAGGCTCTTCAGTTTGCGCAGCGTCTTTTTCGAAACGTGTGGTCTGGCGTTGTCGTGATGAAAGACGACTCCCTTGCGATTTGACAAAATCGGACGTTTCTCTTTTATTTCTCGATTGGTTAATTGGCGACAGTACTTGTCCGAATCAATCGTTTCGCCAGCGGGGAAAAGCTCGAAATAGATTATGCCCTTGCAATCCCACCAAACAGAGAGCATCACCTTCATCGGGTGCAAACTGGCCTTTGGCATTGCGTCACCATGCTCACCTGATTGTTTCCATGTCCGTTTGCGCTGAACATTGTTGTAGAGGACCCATTTCTCATCGCCCGTCACTAGTCGATCCAAAAACGACTCGTTATTGAGCCGCCCGAGTAAAGAAACGGCTGCAGAAATTCGCTTGATTTTGTTCTTCTCGGTCAGCAAATGGGACACCCATATATCGAGCTTCAAATCGAATCCCATCTTTTTTAAACGCCGAAAAGCGGTTGATCGGTCAACGTTTAGTGCTGTAGCAACTTCTTCTGTTGAAATTCGCGGATTATTGAGCACTAAAGTACGCAAAACATCGTCATCAATGTCAGAAGGTCGACCAGAGCGTGGCTCGTCTTCAAGGTTAAATTCTCCGCGCCGAAATTTAGCAAACCATTTTTCCACAGTTCGTTTAGCTGGTGCTTCATCCTGATAAACATCCTGAATGTTTTTTACGGCTGCAGCAATGTTTATTCCCTTCCGAAACTCGTAAAGCATAACATGCCGTAAATGCACCTTATCGATACTCATTTTTAAAGTGATATTTCTCGAAGCAGTTTGTATGAAAACAAATTATTTTTTTTTTAATAACAGCTGAAGACGTCACCTTTCCAACGTTATATAATATGTAGATGGAAGTATTAATGACAACACTTTATGACGCTTATAACTCCATCTATTGAAACTCCGCACGAACTTTTGCACTCACCCAATACATTTAATTAATCTGTTTCCTTCTCTAGAACAAATAATCATCAAAGGTCAAGATAACGTCAAAATTATTTTGACTTAATTTTGACATCATCTTCACTTTCATATAATTATTTGTTCTACTTCAGTTATGCATATGAACAATACGACTATGCAAGTTTGTCTCAATAAGTCTTAAACTCCGGTTAAAATTAATTATGAAACTAAATCTTAGCGTTTTTGAATCATCGGCATCTTTCACGATGTTACGATTATAAATATTATCTATATAACGAATTGTAACCTACACAATGGAACGCTCTTCGATTGAACCGATTGAAATTGCTCATATCAATTATCAATGATATATGGCCTTTCATTACATTCTCTAAGTTTCAATTGTTAATTGAGCAATTCCTTTCACAAGTCAAAGATTAACATGCTGATTTGAAACATAATGCAAAAAGCTCGAAAATAAATACGAAGCAGAGAAGAGATTAACACTGAATGATTATTATTTAATATGCAACTTACATTAACATGGAATGTCTAATTGACTTAATGTCTCGAAGCTACTGAATATGAATTTCTGCTCAAATCTCTTCCTTTCTGTAGGAGATTTTTGGCTGTTTCGGTTACTTTCCTCTACATTTATATTGATGAGTTGAAGCACTTGTTTCTACGAGATGGTTAAAATTCAGTTGACTTTACGAGTGTTCAATCGTGATTATCTGCTGGCTTTGAAACAACAGAAGCGCAACGCTTAACGTTCTCTCCCCTCGGAGAGGTATTCTGACACGAGCGGCGTGGCAATCTATCGGCGACAGTCATCAGTACTCGCGGCGAGCTTTACGACTGCACTTCGTAATCCGTATTCTAACGATTCTCGTTCTTGTGCGGATTTTCAGTGTTTCTTATCTTAGCGAGTCAACGAGATTTCACAACACTTATTTTTTTCAGATTTCTTTACCTTAACGCGATTATATATAAACATCGCGTATGCTTACGCGTGTGTTGAATCGCGTCTATTCTTCTTCTTTTTTTTCTTTTTCTTGTCATGTGTTGTGATTTTTTTTTTTCATATTTTTTTTTCATACAGTGTATAACACTGTATATATTCTAAATTAATATACAATGTCAAATCAGTTCCGTGCAGTTCGCTATTCAAATACCTGTGTGTACAAAAATTGCAGTAATGGGAAATGTAATGGAAAGCGCCTATTCAGGTTTCCCATGCAAAACGACGCAAGATATCATCAATGGATATACAATACAGGTAGATCTTTATCTCAGCGAAGAATGACTTGTCGAATTGACGTCCATTTAATTGTAAGTTGCATATTAAATAATAATCATTCATTGTTAATCTCTTCTCTGCTTCGCATTTATTTTCGAGCTTTTCGCATTATGTTTCAAATCAGCATGTTAATATTTGACTTGTGAAAGGAATCGTTAAATTAACAATTGAAACTTAGAGAATGTAATGAAAGGCCATATATCATTGATAATTGATACGAGCAACCATCTAACTGACGTCGTTCCTAGACAGCACGCGATCACAAGAACGTCCGAAAGACGTCTAGAGGATGTTTTACGTCCTAAGAACGTCCGAAAGAAATCTGAAGACTTCAAAACGTCTTCCAAACTTCGTAAAGTCTCTAGCATATTCCTTGGAGATCTTGTGTTATGTGGTTTTCGATGTCGATCGACGAATCATTCCTCGCAGGGATCTTACTGTTTCATATATTAACGTCCTTTTTTTTAAAGAAAGGCAGATTCGTATATGTATTCTCTTAAAGTGAATCAGTAAAAATGTTTTTTATTGTATCAGTAAAAGGAATATTTCACCGTTTTTTGCTATTTCAATTTTGAAATGGTAAAAAAGTTTGATACCTTGTAATTGCAACTGTTCGGCTTATTATCATTCTAATATTACATATTATTTTAACAACGTTGCATTCTAAATCTCAGTACCACAAAATTCTCACAATCCGCGCGATACTCTTTAAAATATAATCAGTGCATTCTTTATTGAAACATTATAGTTGTAATAGAAGCTTTTGCTCTAAATATAGCACTGCAAAAATTTCGCTAAAAGAATCAGTGAATAACAACGATTGTTCATGTTATTGATGCAGTTTGCAAATACTGACTGTGTCACTGCACACAAATCTTTTTCTTTTGTTCCATTTATATTTTATTATTTCTCATCAGTGGAAGTAAGATTTCACTGAAATTTTATTTCAGATAAAACTTATTTTAGATTTTTTGACAATGGATTGAACGTTGAGGTTTTATATCTTGGCCATCACAATTACTCGATCTAACATCTATGGATTTCTTTGTGTGGGGGGCAAAGCTAAGAAATCGAATCGTGGCTGCTGTGCATCAAATATCATAAGATTAGTGTTTGGCTGCAATACAAGCTGTCAGTAATAGATGCAATGTTTGCATTGCTGCAAAAGGTCAACATTTTGAACAATCTATTTATTAAGTAAAGTAATAAATAAGTGTAAACAAATTAATAAAAAAATAAGTGTAAATATTAAATAAACACTTTTTTTGTTTTTTTGTGATTTTCTTCACAAGGAAGTTAAAACGAGCAAATCTGTAAAGGACTTTTTTCTTACTTTATCGATCCTCTACACGCTTTTGAAGTTTTGACATTTAATTTCGGGACACCCTGTACAGTGCTTATAATTTTTCAGTAAAAAATTAAGTTGGTTTTTAAAAATAATGTAATAAAACGTTAATAAATACAAAGATTATTGAAATATTTATATAACATTCACCTATAATTCTTTTTCTTATTTTATTAAAATTATTTCATAATTTCCCAATTGCAATTTTTTTGTCTGAAAATGCTCTAAATATTGAAAAATGTGATTGTTGCTTTGTAGTATGAAAAACTGACAGTTATGATTTCATTATTAAATATTAAATGCTTTATTATTAATTATTAAATATAAAAATAATTGATATAATAATATCCAAAGAAAAACAAAAAATCCTAAATTGGAAATGTGTAATATGATATTTAGAACAAATATTATTTTCAAATTATATTCAGACGAAACCATGACTTGATGCCAAATATCTTAGTGCAACCATCATAAAATTCTTCATTTCATGATGCTTACTGTATAATACACAATTATTCTACTGGAATACATATACAAATCTCTTGCTACGAAAGTCAGAAATAAACGCGTAATCGCTTGTTTTTTTATTTTTTGTTACAGAAAATACTAAGTTGGAGACATGGTATCCGAATACCCTTCGAGCTGCGGGATTGTGCGAAGATCATTTTGTTGTGACGTCCTTTAAAAACCCACAAAAAATAAAATTGCGTAGAGATGCCGTACCAATTCCGTACGACAAAGATGCCTCTTCTGCACATAAAGATAATATAGAAATAAGAGAGGTACAAAGGGACGTTGTAGAATTATCTTTACCCAATCACCAAATATTATATTAGAAAAGGAAGAACTTCAACAGTCTGCAGTACGAACATATGGATCTGGAACTGTACTTTTCGACATTACTGCAGAAGAGGAAGATGTCATGGAATGGATGCATTTGGAACCAGAACCACATACACGTGAGAATGTGAAACGTAAGGAAAAATGCATGCAAAGTAAAGAAAATCCAGATAACAATCCAGATTGAATTATCAAGGCTTTAAGAATAGAAAATCTTAATTTACGAAAAAAAATTAAACGTTTAAATTATCAGTTGCGATATATGACACAAGCGCGTGAGAAATGTAAAAGTCAAAAGTCGGAAAAACAAATATTAAAGAATTTGATAAATAAACAAAAACTTAATCCTGTTGCAAAAAGTATGATACATTTGCAACTGCATATTCCGCGCACACAATATACAGAGTGTAACGAGGCGCAGATGCACCTCGTTACTACCGGCCCGACCGACCACCTGTCGGGCCGAAGAACGGCGCTTTGCCACCTTAAGCTATCGAAACGATCGCGCCACCGCTATCTCGCGCCACCGCTATCGCGCGCCGCGGCGATCACGCGCCGTCGCCGTGCCTCGCGCCGATAGGCGCGCCGCTCGATCGCCGCCGTATCAATTGTAGCGCGATCAACTATAAAACGGCGGCGATCGAGCTTCTAGACAGCAGACCGATCCGTACCGCCGATTCGATCTAGACGCTTGTATGCCGAAAGAGAGAATATCCGGACCCTTTCGCTCTGCTTTCCGTATTCCGACTACCCGACCGGCGACTAAGCAAACGGGATTGTGCGTCCGCAGTCTCGATCAAGCGTACTCGATACTTGGCCGTCTCCCGTCTTCCTGGGTTCGTGCGTGCGCGTGCTCAGTCGAGCGTACTCGACAGTCTCTCGCCTTTACCCGCCGCCTTGAGTCAGGGGTTCGTCCGTCGGCGAACTCCTCCGCTGAGCGTACTCAGCCTTTAGGCGATCCGTCTAACGACCAAGAACCCGGGACGGTGTGTCCGCCGTCTCCACTGAGTGTCCGCAGCACTTAGTCGCTTTCCTCCGCGAACGTAGGGAAAAGGGAAGGTGCGTACGCCTTCTCTGTCGAGAGTCCTCGGCCCCGACGGACGAAATCACTTCGCGTATTCCGCGACTTGCGTGCGTGCGTTCGTCCGAGAGTCGAAATCTCCGGTCCGGTGACCATCTATACGCGAGCGATTGCGAGACGAGTATTGGGCGATAATTGTCCGAGACGTCCAGCGTCGCGAAGCGAGACCGATCACTGCGCCGTTACCGTCGTTACCGTCTACACGCGTCGCGTAATAGGCCCCACCTTCCGCGCGGCCTATCCGTCCGTACGCGCGCTTGTACCGCTCACCGTACCGCACCGTACCGTACCGACGCGCCTAATAGACGCGGCCCGCGACAACGCCTTCGGGACCGAACTCTTATATCTCAGTAAGCGTAGAATAAAGCTAAGTTATTTCTATTGCCATTTTCAAGTGTCTCGCTGCTTTACTCCTCCTCGAACCCGGACTCCGACGAGCATTATCCGCGTGAAACGCGTAGCGACGACCGAACCGCGGAGTTCGGCCGTTACAAGAGGAAGAAAAAATGCTTTCTAAGCAATTATGTTATCATTCAGCGTCAGCATTTTGTCGCTTAAAGAAAGCAGGTTGCAATTTTCCCGGACAGCGAACAGTTAGAAGATGGTTAGAAGATAGTTAGAAGATGGTTAGAAAAGTATGATATAAAACCGGGATTTTGCGATTTTTTATTTAAAAAATTAAAAGAAAAAATATCGCAAATACCTCAGAAGGAACGAGTGTGTGCCTTAAAATGGGATGAAATGTATATAAAAAGTTATGAGGAATATTCTTTAAAATTAGATGAAATAGAAGGTCTTGTCGATCTAGGACCTCCAGGTAGAATAAACGAAAGAGCTAAGTGCGTATTTGTGCTTTGCCTTGATAGTTTGAATGCACATCATCCGTGGCGACAACCTTTAGCGTATTTGTTGAACTTGTTGAAATGCTTTAAAATTAAAGGAAATAGTTGAATTAGTGAAGATATGTTTAGACAAATTAAATGAAACAGGTGCTGATGTGCAACTCATGACATGTGATCAAGGTGTATACAATCAAGCTGCGTTTAGTCAACTCGGTGTTGAAGTACAAACACCATTTTTTATATATAAAAATAAAAACTATTATGCTTCCTTCGACTTCCCGCACTTAATTAAAAGATTAGCTAGTTTCCTTAGAACACATGATAAGATATATTGCAACGGGGAAATAATTGCATCATATTCAGATTTTATTAAGACGTGGTGTATCGATAATGCTACAAAAGGAGGCTCAAATTTATTATCCCATATAACAGAGGCACACATTCGTCCAAATAGTTTTGAAGCAATGAACGTGAAAAGAGCGTTTCAATTATTTAGTAATAAATTCGCAGCTGCAATTAAAATAGCCGGTGACGAAAAAGAATTAGATTCTAATACATGGAAAGCTACGGCTGATTTTGCTGAATATATGAATAACGTAATAGATGCTTGCAATTCTTATATTAAAGTTAAATTTGGTGGAAAACGGCCATTATCCCAAAAAAATCCTGATATTGAAATACTTTTGACTAATTTTGTGCAGTGGTGTTCAGGATGGTCAAAATTTCCGAATAAAGTATTTCAAGTTCCATGCTTCAAAGGTTTCGTGATTACAACACAAGCTATTCTTACTTTGTATAAGATACTTTCACGTAAATATGATAAGTTTGAACTTGCAACAGGTTTATGTAATCAAGATTCAGTGAAACATTTGTTTTCAAAACTTCGACAATGCGGAAGATTTAATCCTAATCCAACCGCAAGAATGGTACGACTGTCTGTTATTCTTTCTATGGGTTACATTCTGGCAAGCGATAAGGGCAACGTTCAATGTTCTGAAAGTGAGGCTCTTATTAATCAGCCGAATCATCTCATGAAAACGATTGAATATTGCATAAGTGTTAATAATACTGACGCTGTTGTTGTTGATAATGATGTTGATTCAGAAACAGAATTGTTCGATAAACATGCAGAAATTGTAGAGAAATACGATGATGTAGACATTGAAAATATGAATATAATAAGTAATTATGATGAAAATGCTATTACATTCTTTGCAGGATATGTAGCACGACGATGTATTGAAAAAAATGATTGTAACTATTGTCGTCAAATAATGTTAAAAACACCAATAAAAGATGTAACAGCTAATGAAAAATATATCGAATATCGGGAATATCCTAATGCGGACGAAGATGCGCCGATGGTCACGAAATTAGTTCGACCAACAATCTTTTTATAAATATCATTAAAACACAGTTAATGGCTTTTAATCGTTCGTGGCAACATCACTGGGCATCCACACAACTTCTTGAAAAGATGATAAATGAAGGTATACATGCCACTAATAAAATGCATGCTGAATGGTTTGACATTCATAAAAAGTGTTACAATCATCGTATGCAGGCATTAAAATTTTTAATGACTGTTAAGATATATTCCCGCACACGATATAATAACGGTAGTATAAAAGCAAATAATGTATTCAATAGAAAATTAAAAAATTTATCGAATAAATAAAAGATTTATGAAGGAAAACTTATAAAGGACAAACATATCAAATAAAATAAATACGTTTAATAAAATAAAGAAAATAAGTAACATAGAACGTATAAAATTGTACAAAAGAAGCACAAATGTTCAAATTTCGCGAACGTATTCATAATTACGAAAACTAGGGAATGTACGATTTTCTTTCTTTATTTTGTTATTATTTGTGTCTTATATATCCGTCATTGTGCGAAGTAATATTACAACATGGTATCATGGTTGCATTTAAAATGTACCTCTATACATGTATAGAGTGTTACAAGTATGCAAATCATGTATCTACTATAAGTATTACTTTTTAGTAAAGAGAAAAAGAAATATGTTTCTCAATGTAATACAAGATCGCACTCACAGTTGAAATAATTGCATGAATCACATAGACTAGCAAATGTATCACGGAAAAAAAAGGTTTTAATGCAATCANGACTTTATCTTAATATACTCTATCCAGAAACAACGTATCCAAAAAACACAAGAACATTTTCTTCCTACTTTTGGAGCCCGCGAATTCGTAAGGGGACTTAAAAAAAACTTTGCATCGATTTTACCATGGTTGAATATGAATATCTCACCTCGTTTCAACTCGCAGTTTCGCGTAATATAGGCACGGTGTGCTCGCGCCGTTCAGGCACCACTTCGTTGCGCTTGAACTTGGCGCAAAGCACTACCGTGCTTCTTTGATAACAATAACATATCAAGAGGCACGGTGGGCTATTAATACGCGAAACTGCGAGTTGAAACGAGGTGAGATATTCATATCTCAGGAATGGCTGAAACCGATCGACGTTTTTTTAGTCCCAATCGATTCAGCCTTAAAAAATAGGAAGAAAAGTGTTCTTGTGCTTTTTGCGTTGTCTCTAAGTGGATATATTTTAAGATTAAAGTCTGAATCACAGAAATTACGATTCAGTAAGAAAGTAAGAAAGAAACGCTAGACCGCCGAGGAGAGGGGATTTGTGCTTCTCGTTTTTTCGACACTAGTGCTGCGATTCTGTAACTCGTTATTAGAGTTAACGACAGTTTCGTTATTGTTGCGCAGCTTTTCTACGGTATACAAAAGCTGCGCAACGATAACGAAAGTGTCGTTAACTCCAATAACGAGTTACAGAATCGCGGTACAGAGGCGTTATGAGCGCGCTGAAGATGCAAAGAGCAGCGAATGCGAGTGAGCAAGCGATAGAGAATAAGAGAGAGAAGAATAGACCGCCGAGGAGAGGGGATTTGTACTCTCGTTTTTCCGAACCAGAGGCGTTACGAGCGCGCTGAAGAAGTAAGAGCAGCGAGTGCGAGTGAGCAAGCGATAGGGAATAAGAGAGAGAAGAATATCGGTTGGTAGAACAGGAGGTGAAATAAAAATAAAATATTGCTAGTTTTTATTTTAAATATATATTATATTATACAGCACGTGAATTTTAGAGTGCGTCCGTTTCCACGCATATGCGCGCATTTTTTATAGTATATGTGACATAACTATAGATAATGCGCGCATATGCGTGAAACGCACCCCGAGTCGAACACGAGCAACGTGATCGCAACGTTGGTAGTTTACGTCGAGCAATGAGCGACAGCGAAGGTTTGACAATCACTCATTTCGGTTTTGAAGCTTCCTAACCTCAAAGATATCACAATGCTGCGCTCACATTTTCGACTGAAAGTTGACTTGTCCAAGTTTTTTCACGATGTGCGTCGGATCTGCTAAAATTTTTATTGATTGATCTCTAAGATATTTGGCATAAGAGAACCATTTCATTTGTTGTTGAACGATGCCGAATATCTGCCACCGATGGAGGATATTCGCATTCTCATCGAAAACGAGACGATCAAGTAAGTATAATTCTTTTAATATAAAGTTTTAAACTTAACTTTTCATATATTTTTAGTTCAAATAGGTTTTATGTGTTTATTCAATAATATTATTTGTATGTCATTAATAGATAGAGTAATCCCTGGATCTGGCATATAGAACAAAGTTTTAAATGCATTAGTTACTGTATATCAGATCCCTGGATCTGGCATATAGAACGAAGTTTTAAATGCATTAATTACTGTATATCAGACTAATAATTACAAAAATTTCTCTAAGGCTAAAGCATGTAACAATATTTCACACGATAAGGTTGTCGAAACAACAGATGTTATGACTGAGAAAATAAGAATAAATGCAAGTAATGGATTGGATATATCTGACGATCCTTTGAATGATACAGATTCAGCTTTGATATGTTAGTATATTTTATTTATATTGCACTAAAACAAATATAATAATCTTTATAATATGATTAATGAATTATATTTATTTTTAGATAATAATACAAGAAATGTTATGTTTACTACTGTAATTGATTATACAGAAGCAGATGCAGATTCAAAGGTTACGGATTAAAGTAATATAAAATAAAGTTGTAATACATTCAAATTACAAAAAACTAATTATATGAAAGAATATTAAGAATAAATAAAAGATAAAAAAAAATATATTTCAATAAGGTTGTCGGCCCCTTCTTCCTCTTCATGCGCTATATCTGGGCAATTTTCCAATTGCTTGTATAACAGATAATATAGTTTGTATCTGCGATATCTGCCACCGATGGAGGATATTCACATTCTCACCGAAAACAAGACGATCAAGTAAATATAATTTTTTTAATATAAAGTTTTATACTTTTAATATATTTTTAGTTGAAATAGGTTTTATGCGTTTATTCATTAATATTATTTGTATGTAATTAACTTACAGTCTTATTCTTATAGAGTAATTCCTGGATCTGGCATACAGAACGAAGTTTTAAACGCATTAGTTACTGTATATCAGATACTAATAATTACAAAAATTTCTCTAAGGCTAAAGCATGTTACAATATTTCACACGATAAGGTTGTCGAAATAGATGTTATGACTGAGAAAATAGGAATAAATGCAAGTAATGGATTGGATATATCTGATCCTTTGAATGATACAGATTCAGCTTTGATATTAGTATATTTTATTTATATTACGCTAAAACAAATTGAATCTTTATAATATAATTAATGAATTGTATTTATTTTTAGATAATAATAAACAAATGTAATATTTACTACTGCAATTGATTATACAGAAGCAGATGCAGATGCAAAGGTTACGGATTATAATATTCACTTATATATTATATATTATTATATAGTATTTACTGTTTTTTGCAGACTTTGAAACTTGTCGATGACTATATACATCAGATATCCAATTTTATTACAGGCGAGGTATTAAGTTCCTGTATAAGATAATGAATCACCCTGTATATATAATCGAAATAAAAGGGCTGTACGAGTGGTTTGAATCACTCTGTATATATAATATGTACATAACATAAGTTTTTACAAGTACAAATGATATCATGTTATAACAATTTTACACGTTTATTAGTAGTATCCAATATTTAATTTATCATTATTTATTATAACACTGAGTTATATGATTGTTTTACTTGTTATTATAATGTACTTAACATAACTTTTTACAAGTAAAAATGATTACATGTAAAATTTATTATAATCTTTTTGAACAAAAAGGTAAAAAAGGCGCCAAGTACAAGCGCAACACATATTGTGCTATTTTTAGAAATTTCAAATTCAAATTATTTTTTTTAATTATTTTTAATTTTTAGTTTAATTTTTAATTTAATTTTTAATTTAATTTTTAATTTAATTATTTTTTATGTATGTGTATATAACATAAGTTTTTAAAAGTAAAACTTATACAAAAAAAGGGATATATTAAAACAGTAGCGCCAACTGAGAAATCGTATATTTAATATTTTTATAAATCTCAAATTCAAATTATTTCCTTTTTTTAAGATATACAGGGTGATTCAAAACAACCTTCCATTATTAAAAGTATAAAATCCTGATAAAATTCTAAAACAACTTTTCCTCTTGCAAAATTTTGGCAAAAGCTTAGATTTTAAATTATTAAAAAAAGTAGTAGACCTATTGCGGGTCGGGTACAGGAGATAGACAGGTGCGGCGCAACTCACCGTCAGATGTGGGCGCTAACGCGGAGTACCCGCAGCAATCACACATGTGTAGTGTGATCAGCTGATCACACTACACATGTTATACATTAGCTACGTTTCAATATTCATTGCCAGCATAAAAATCTGTATTTTCTGTGACGTAAGGTGATTGTTATAACTGGCAAAAATTTTGAAAAACAGCCAGGATTGTACGCGCACACACATGCAAGCACGTTCTCGGTCTCTCCGAGTCTTTCTGTCTCTTTCTCACTCATTCACTCGTATTCATTGCACGACCAATGCGAAGCGGCGGTCGTGCGTGGTGGGGGATGGACCAATGGACATCCCGCGACGATCGTATAAATGCGTTGGAACAATCGATGTGTTAATCAATAATCCTGCGGTTATTGGAAGCGTTAACGTCAAGACGATATGGCAGCATGCACGAACGAAGAATATTATGACATGCTATTGACACTCGGAGCCTGTCATGGCCAGGTCGCCGCTGCTGCTCGAAGATACGCCGAGCTGTATCCCAACCGAGCAAGACATCCGTCGCACCACATTACAGATACAAAATACAGATTTTTATGCTGGCAATGAATATTGGAACGTAGCTAGTGTATAACATGTGTAGTGTGATCAGCTGATTGCTGCGGGTACTCCGCGTTAGCGCCCACGTCTGACGGTGAGTTGTGCCGCACCTATCTACCTCCCGTACCCGACCCGCAATAGGTCTACTATTTTTGTTAATAATTTAAAATCTAAGCTTTTGCCAAAATTTTGCAAAAGGAAAAGTTGTTTTAGAATTTTATCAGGATTTTATACTTTTAATAATAGAAGGTTGTTTTGAATCACCCTGTACATTATGTACATAACATAAGTTTTTACAAGTACAAATAATATCATATTATAACAATTTTACACGTTTATTAGTAGTGTCCAATATTTAATTTATCATTATTTATTATAACACTGAGTTATATGACTGTTTTACTTATTATTATAATGTACTTAACATTACTTTCTACAAGTAAAAATGATATCGTGTTATAAAATTTTAACACGTTTATTAATAGTGTTCAATATTTAAAAAGATATCTTTTTAAAGGTTATTATTACAAATTCAAATTATCTTTTTTAAGTATATATGTGTATATAACATAAGTTTTTACAAGTAAAACTTATACCAAAAGAAGTGATATTAGAAATCTCAAATTCAAATTATTTCCTTTTTTTAAGATATATATTTATTATGTACATAACATAAGTTTTTACAAGTAAACATTATATCGTGTTATAAAAATTTAACATGTTTATTAATAATATTTGTCCAATATTTTAAAAAGATATCTTTTAAAGGTTATTATTATTCAAGAAAATTCAAGAAAAACTAGCTACAAAAGATGTCAATAACATTAATTTTTACAAAATTTATCATTATTTATTAGAACACTGAGTTATATGATTTTTTTACTTGTTATTATAATAAATTAATTATTATAACGATGCAATAAAAAATATTTAATACAAAAAATCTTGGCGCGGCTGCACCAAAAACTATATCGGACTAAAACTTGTTTAATACATACATGACAGCATTTTTATTATAATAAAATGTACTTGTAAATTTTGTACTTGTAATATTTTATATCTAATTAGACTTTTATGTATATACATCTTCGAAATAGTTTTTGGTGCAGCCGCGCCAAGATTTTTTGTATTAAATATTTTTTATTGCATTGTTATAATAATTAATTTGTTATAATAACAAGTAAAAAAATCATATAACTCAGTGTTCTAATAAATAATGATAAATTAAATATTGGATACTACTAATAAACGTGTAAAATTGTTATAACATGATATCATTTGTACTTGTAAAAACTTATGTTATGTACATATTATGTTCAAAATTATCCCTGATATCGTTGGATATATAATAGATGTCCGTTAAATATTATCCTATACCTTTTTAGAGATTTTGCATAAGATATCTTAATTAGATAATTTTGGATATGTTATGGTTATTGTGCTATATCTCAAAATTGACTGTCAATAATTACTGTGGAAGTGACGAATCATGGGCTCTTTATCTCTTCTGTCACCGATACACACACATGCATGCACACTTGGCCTGAAGGCCAAAAACAACGATATTTTTGAAAGGCTGTAACTTTGCGAAAAAAAATTGTAGCGACTCCATTTTTTTTTTCAAATTGAAGGGGAATATTTGAACTTTATGAAGATACAAACAGCGTCCCCGAAAAAAATTGTCCACGTCCGTGCATTCCGTCAAACTTTGCAATTTTCAGTATACCAAACATGCCCTCAGATGTCAAGGGTTACAGGAGTAGAGGTGCATCACATGCAAAAGATGGAGATACATTCTTAAAGTAGAGACTTCAAGCTTCATTTTGAAAAAAAGTCATTAGTCTACAATAATTTTTCGCGAAGTAATCGCCAGTCAAAGTTGGCCAATTTTCGACAATAAATTATCTATGCCATAATTCTTTTGAGCAGTATATACTGGGTGATCCGAAATTCCCGCATTCGGAATACAGGACATGATACTTTATGCTAAAACAAACAACTTTTTCCTTTAGCAAAATTGCGTCCGACAAGTAATTTTTGCAGAAGAGCGTGTTAAATTTAACGAATAAGCGCTCTTGTCTATATAACACTCAGGGCCGACGCGCGCGCCTCACTCGCGTGTACCTAGTCCGTGATTAGTAATCATAAGTAGTGTCTTTTAAGACGCTCATACGGTTCTCTTGTGATTAGTTTACGACATTTTAAGACTGTGCTTAAGACGATTTTAAATAATAAGAATCAATTATGAACAATACCGGGATTTGACGTGCTTTCGTATTTGTATTGCTTAAATAATGAAAAGTTAATAAAATAAGTACTGCCTTTATTTCTTACGTAATAAATGAATAAAATATTGTCTGGTTACACAATATTATCTGAAAATAAAGACAAATGTAAATAGTATAATATGTTTTGCGAGCTGTGAGCGTTCTATTATTCCAAATATTGCACAATTACGTGATAATTAAATAGTATCATTAAATTTAAAGAATAATTTACTGATCAAGCGTATACATAGGAGTATACATATTTGTAACAGTGATTAAAAGTAAAATATTTGAATTAACGTCTTTTAAGAGCTCTCTTTTTATTTCTTTATAATAGAAAATATAAAAAACTTATTTAAAATTCAAATTGTGTGATATACTCACGTCATGGTCTACATTTATTTATTATTGCTTATGCACGTTAGCCTTTCATTACGTACTTTTCTTACATATTTCGATTATTGCGAGGAATATTGCTATAGCCTCAATGATTTATTTTCTTAACCAACTTGACCATTGAGGCTACAGCAATATTCCTTGCAATAAGCCGAACATGTAAGGAAAATATATATTGAAAGGCTAACGTGCATAAGCAATAATAAGTAAATGTAGACCATGACGTGAGTATATCACACAATTTGAATTTTAAATAAGTTCTTTTTTGTA